TCCACATCACTAAAGATGTTCAGATATAACCCATTTGGTGAGGTTGTCATGGAAATGACTAAAGCATCAAGTGTTCTGACATTTTACCTTGAGACTCTCTTGGTAGGTGAGATTTTTCACAATGGATAGAAGGTTGAACAAGGGAATCTTGTAAGTAAAACTCTCTCTGATTCTCATTTCTGAGTTCAAAGAGAATTGTATTTCAGCCTGCTTAACGGAAAAGTGACTAAGGAAATAGCAGTATGTTGAAATTCATGTGAGAGCCTAGCCTCTTTTAACGTGCTACAATAGAGCGCCCTCCAAAAGACGTCAAAGGAACTGAGTGTGGTGGCATCTGTCCACAACTTATCATTGGTGAATCAACGAAGGGAAAAGGAACTGATCCTGGACTTGCCGCAGTATAAAACCATGAACTATACACATCCAGTGCTATTTGGGGTCACAAAGTAACAGATCAGGTCAGTGATTCCTAAACCCTGCCAAACCTCACAATCATTCTTCAGAACTTAGACCCAGTTTTAAGTAGGCTTCTTAGGCCCAACCCCACAAATTCAGATTCAGGAACCCTGGATTTGGGCCTGGGAATCTTGGTGATCAGCCAAGTTTAGACACAACCAGAATGAAATACATGTACACGTATACCCCTATTAGGACAGTTACATAAAGACCATTGATAAACATCACATGCTACTGAACCATTCAGGTGTACAAAGTCGCCTTGTGTGGAGAAGCCCATCAGTGTTCTACAGCTAAGTGATACTCAAGCCAGTGTTTCTGATGTTTCATTCAATGCATTAAGTAGAGCTGCTCAAAAGAACTAGCTCTATTTATTAATATATTATGTAACCATGCTTATGAATACTGTAAACAACAGGGACATTCATGTTAATAAAACCAGTGTTAGTTCTTAGACTATAAACAAAAGTAAAGTGATTTGAGCTACAGAAGCCACTGTATGACCCTGGTCACACTCTCAAAGGAAATACCAAGGAAGATATGCTGAAGTTGATGAGAAACCAGCTGATGCCTGAGATGTGGATACAGAGGTACCCTGCTCACCGTCGCATCAACAGTAACACATAAATGAAGTGTTTGGGGGATTTTGCATCTTCAATTTCGTTCCCAAGTGATATGTTTATTAATAGAAAGGGGGGGGCAGAAGTCAAGACAGCTCACCAAACTATGGTAAATAAAGAGCATGAGATGAAAATACTAATTATCACCTGCCAACCAAGCAGCCAGTCTTCCTAAATGATCTAGTCGATCTCATCATAGAGGTCACATTTGTCTTCTGAGGCCACTGTTGCCAACAGGTTCCAAAGTTCATTTGTTCCGAGTGAACAGGTTTCCTACACTGCAGGCTTTCTGACTGCTGGCGTCAGGGAGGTGACACAGAGGGACCCCACGGCCCTTTGCTCTTCTTCCCACCAGCTTTTACGCTGCCTGGTCCGCGTCCTGCCCGGAATGCTCTCCCCCAGACACGTGCTTGGCAAACTCCCTCACTCCCTTCATGTCTTGCTCACCTGCCACCATCCCAGTAAAGCGTTCCCTGCTCATCTGGTTTAAAATCGCACTGTGCTCCCAGCCCACGCCCTGTTCTGCAATTTTTTTTTTTTTTCATCGCACTTAACAGCATTTAGTAAACCAATAATTTACTTATTTACTTGGATTTATTATTGACCACTATCTTCTCTGCTAGACTCTATGGCAGAGTTTTGTTCGCTGATGTATCTTAAGTGCCTCGAATAGCATCTAGCACAAAAATAGGCCTCTATCAAATAAACACTTGTTAAATGGATGAATAAATATGTAATACATTGACTGAAAGTGAAAGTGTTAGTCGCTCAGTCGTGTCCAACTCTTTGTAACCCCATGGACTGTATCCCCCCAGGTTCCTCTTTCCATGGGATTCTCCAGGCAAGAATACTGAAGTGAGTAGCCATTCCCTTCTCCAGGGGATCTTCCTGACCCAGGGATCGAACCCAGCATCTCCTGCACTGCAGGCAGATTCTTTACCAGCTGAGCCACAAGAGGAACACTTAATTATTATACGTGAGGCTCCTAGAAGATGTGCAAAACTCTTGGGTCCTATGTTCAGAACTCTCAGTATGATCAGAGAGCAAAATCACTGCCGATATACAGTTAATGCCTGTAAAGTCCTTTGATAAAAATTAGAGTTGTCCAGATCCATTTCCTGCGAAATGATAATATCCAAATCTTAGATTTATCCTTGATAATGCTGCTGTTCAGTCGCAAAGTCATGTGCCACTATTTGTGCCCTCATGGACTGCAGCACGCCAGGCTTCCCTGTCCATCACCCTCTCCCAGAGTTTGCTCAAACTCACGTCCATCGAGTTGGTGATGCCCTCCAACCATCTCATCCTCTGTCATCCCCTTCTCCCAGCTTCAGTCTTTCCCAGCATCAGGGTCTTTTCCAATGAGTCAGTTCTTCGCATCAGGTGATGAAAGTATTAAAGCTTCAGCTTCAGCATCAGTCCTTCCAGTGAATATTCAGGGTTGATTTCCTTTAGGATGGACTAAAAGACCTCCTTGCTGTCCAAGGGACTTTTGAGAGTCTTCTCCAGCATCACAGTTCAAAAGCATCAATTCTTCGGCGCTCAGCCTTATTTATGGTCCAACTCTCACATCTATACATGACTACTGGAAAAACCATAGCTTTGGCTGTACGGACCTTTGTCAGCAAAGAGTTATCTCTGCTTTTTAATACACTGTCTAGGTTTGTCATAGCTTTTCTTCCAAGGAGTAAGAGTCTTTTAATTTCATGGCTGCACTTATTTTGAAGTTGTGTGTTTCAGATTGCTAAGGAACACACTGCCTAGAGCTTGCCCTCTTGTTGAGACCATTGTCAGTGTGATCTTGCATCAAAGGGGAAAAAATGAGATTCTGTTGGGAATACAGTTTGCTTTATAAATTAGAGTGAGCAGAGAGAACCATCTTGCCAGGAAGATGAAGCTGTGAAAGTATTGTTGCTAGCATTAACTGCCGGCCTGTTGTTCTGTTTCCTGAATGATAAAAACACTGCACAAATCCTGCCTTAGTAAATCCTGACTATGTGTAGTTCTCTAACGGATTAGCTGTGTCTAGTCACATTTGTTATCACTTGTGTGCAATTTTGCAGTTTGCTTCCTTGATAAATTAGACATACATTCTGCTTAGAGGAGAAAGTACAGACACACATATTGATTTATACTGAAATCACAAAAAGCCTTTAAAACGATGTATAAAGTAAAAATGTATTAGCAACATTGCTTAGGACAAACATAAACACAAGTAGTAAATAAATTTGCACAGTGGCACCATTTTTTACACCATGAATAACCATTGTAGAGAGAATCATCTTTAGGTACAAAATGATTTATGACCTCTTGTCTTTGTTCTTTTCATAGTTCTGTTGTCTGTTAGCATTTTCCAAACATCGTGACTTATAAACACCTTATCTTAGTCTATCTGGCTCCTATAACAAGAATACCACAAACTGCATGGCTTAAACAACAAATTTATTCCTCATATTTCTTGAGGCTGGGGAGTCCAAGGTCAAGGCTCTGGAAGATTCAGTGTCTGGTGAGGGCCCACTTCCCTAGGATCATCTTTTCACTCTGTCTGTACGTGGCTATAAGGGCAATGGTGATCTCTGGGGTCTCTTGTATAAGGACACAAATCCCGTCCATGACCCAGTCCTTTCCCAAAGTCCCGACCTCCTAAATACCATCCCATGGGGGATTAGGTTTCAACATCCGAATTTCAGGGAACACACATTTAGTCTATAGCACGGTGATTCTAGTCAGGAAGGAAAAGAAGAGATAATATCAAACAGAGCTAATGATTGGAATGTTTAAGTCCTTGTCAGGCCGAAAAGAACAGTAATTATCCTTCAACAGGCTAATCTATGACAGTTTGTATAAAGGGATAGAGCATAGTTGTATTTGGTGAGTTCCATCCTAGTGAGTTCTGCTAGCTTGTTTCTTATTTAGGAATGATTAGAATGTGATCAGTGTTGTATACTTTCATTGCTTTTTAATTGCTCAGTCATGTCTGGCTCTTCTGCGCCCCACGAACTGTAGCCCACCCAGGCTCCTCTGTCCATGGGACTTTTCAGGCAAGAATACGCAAATGAGTTGTCATGTCCTTCTCCAGGGGTTCTTCCCGACCCAGAGATTGAACCCGTGTCTCCTGCATTGGCAGGCAGGTTCTTTACCACTGAGCCACCTGGGAAGCCCTTGTATACTTTTAGAACATAGTAAAATTTATAAAATTACAAATTATGTGTTTAGTCACTAGAGGTATTACCTCATCATCTGAAATTCTGCATAAGCATCCCTTACAATAAACAAAGTTTACATTAATCCATCTAAGGGGAATATTCTGAGATTCTGAGAATAATTTTCCAAGTACATCTGGGAAAATAAATTGATTTTAAAAGATATGTTATTGATTAAAACATCATTTTGAACAACCCATTTGTGATCTACTATGAGAGCTGCCTTCTGGTCAACGTCAAACCAACTGGAGCAAATAATTTTTCACGCAGCTAAGAATATCTGTAGTACCAGGTCAGTTCGGTGGCTCAGTCGTGTCCGACTCTTTGCCACCCCATGGACTGCAGCACACCAGGCCTCCCTGTCCATCACCAACTCCCAGAGTTTACCCAAATTCACATCCATCGAGCCAGTGACGCCATCCAACCATCTCATCCTCTGTCGTCCCCTCTCCTCCTGCCTTCAATCTTTCCCAGCATCAGGGTCTTTTCCAGTGAGTCAGCTCTCCGCATCAGGTAGCCAAAGTATTGGAGCTTCAGTTTTAGCATCAGTCCTTCCCGTGAATATTCAGGACTGATTTCCTCTAGGATGGACCGGTTGGATCTCCTTGCTGTCCAAGGGACTCTGTAGTACCATATCATGAAAAAAGAGAAAATCCACTTTACCTGTCACCTCTGTGCTAACGTCTGCAACCCCTGTGTGTCCGCGTCTGTTCTCTCGCAGGTACGAGAAAGTGCCGGTCATCTTGGTGGGGAACAAAGTCGACCTGGAAAGTGAGAGAGAGGTGTCCTCCAACGAAGGCCGGGCGCTTGCCGAGGAGTGGGGCTGCCCCTTCATGGAGACGTCGGCCAAGAGTAAAACCATGGTGGACGAGCTCTTCGCCGAGATCGTCAGGCAGATGAACTATGCCGCCCAGCCCGACAAGGACGACCCGTGCTGTTCCGCGTGTAACATACAATAGCATTGACACGTGGCTGCCCGCCCCCCTCCCACCCCCCGGAGGCGACACCAGCCTCGCCTCCCCGTGGAGCCTGCAGGGTGTGCGGTGTGAACCTGCAGTGAAGCAGCTGATCGTCCTTCAGAGCCCGGCGGCGATTGTCAGCTGAGAGTTCTGAGTCACCTTTGGGTCCAGTAACTCCAGTCTTCACCGTCATCCTCAGTCTCCTCCAGGCACCTGCAACTTCAGGCGTCCTGGCCCAGTTGATCCGCAGGGCGACCTCCTTCGAAAGCTATGATGGTATTGTCACTTGAGTTGACAGAAGCAACTATGGTCGTCGTTAAAAGTAATCACGGGAGAGAAACCAGAAGAATTCCTGTGACCGCTTAACCATTAAAATATTTTGTCTTCTTTAAAAAAAATAGATGAGTCAAGGAGAAATATTTTCCTACCAGAGTACTGAATTTCAGAAACTGAGATAGTGCTTCTAACCAATATATCACATCAAGGAAGATAATAAGAGCTGACCTGCCGGCAGCATTCCAGGGAGAGATTCTTTGCTCAGCTGACTCACTTCTGTTTTTCAAAGTCGATGCTTAATTGTAGATGTTATCCTAATTTGTGACATGGAACTAACTCATGCACCAGTCTCTGATAGAGCCAGAGTCAGCACAGGTTGGGTAAAAATACAGCCTGGTGTTACAATGTGTTATCACCTGCTTTGCCCAGAAAGTGGAGACTCTCATAAGGGTCTGAGTCAAATTAAAACCCCAGACCCACCCCTCTGTTCACCAAGCAGGGATGGTCTTTGTTACTTTACTGAACAAGAAGGAAGCAACTGTGATGGGAAGAGATTGCCTAGCCTTACTAATGAGAAGCGTTCCAGTAGATGAACTAGTACCATCGTGTAAGGAAAATGAAGCCATGTTGCATCCACATGTTCCCGTTTGCAGAAACCTCACAGGACAGTACAAATATCTTGCATTTTTACGTTCGTTAAAGCAGCAAATTCCTTCTTGCCTTTAAGGGCTATGGTTGTGGTGTGATTCTTGGCTAACCTGCTTTCGAAATCAAGTTTTCTATAGCAGAGCTTTATTGCAGGCATTAAAAAAAAAAATTGAATAACCATGTGAAATAATTGGGGCTTAAAAGTAGAACAGAAATTATAGAGTGGAAGGTAAGAGACGAAAAAAAAAAAACCCTTTAATTTTCCTGGAGAATTCTATAAAGATTTTCTTACAACAATTTTGCCCTGATTACTGAAGTGGCAAATAAAGCTAGAGTGAATATTTTGTCTTGAAAAGGTGCTCAAGTCCTGACATTTTTGGTTTTTATAGCCGCCAAGTATTTATCATTTGCATGACTAATGGCACAGGAAAAAACGTATTCATAAGTTTTACAATCAAGCGCAGAAGGGTTTTCACCCACCTTCAGAGTTATAAAATGCTGAAGAGAGTATTTTGAGCTGATCCTCTGGAGATGAATTTGGCCTTCAGAACTGCAATATCACTGAGCCTGTGATCTGCATACCGCCCCATATTTCTTGTTGGTTTCACACTCTTGTGCAAGTAACCTCGGGTCTTAACGTGTTACTGAGTGAAGAATGTGTGTTTGCGTGTGCATGTGTGTTTAATGTTATGAAGAATTTGGCACAAGTCAGAGATAATTGCCTATACTGAGAATCTGTCCTGCAGAATACCATGTATCAAAAACATTTTTTTAAGTGTTTTTTTATTTTTAATACATTCTTGAAATCATTGCTAGCCCACCCCCTAAGTGTTTAGTAAACTGATGTTAAGGTTGGAGGAGAGAAAAAAGGTGGATAGTACTTTTCATAAATGAGAAGACAGATGTGTGGGTAAAACCAGGCATGGTTGTCAAAAGTCTTTGAATTGTGAATATTTGCATTCCTCAATATAATTTTTTGAATAATTCCCAATTATGAAGCACCTTTTATAGGCCAGAAAGTTCTAACTAATTTTACTGCATCAAATTTGGTCATGTAAAAGGTGATTTGACTCAATCATGTAGATAAGTCAGTGATTCAAGAAGTATGATTTTTATCAACTGAAAGAGAAATATTTGTTAGTGTACTGTTTGAGTTTTGAAGCCTCTAACTTCTCAGAATGATTCTGGTTTTTAGAATTCCATATTTAGTAGAAATTTATGGCAAGTAAGATTACATATAAAAACATCTATAAAGATTTTACAGTTTTACCTTGTGGATTGCTATGCAGACAAGAAAAATAAGTTAAATAATGTGAAAGGTATGGCAGGATATAAGGTGGAAAAGATTATCTAAAAATTTGGGTTTTAGTTAGATGTGTTTATGTCAGACAATAAGGTGGTTTTTTTTTTACTGTAAAGATGTTAATAGCTGATATGGCTGCCTGATCAGTGTTTCCACCCAGCCTTGCGTATTTAGTGACAAAGCATCAAATATATCCAGAAACTTGGAAACCCTCGTGTGCTCTTACTGTTGGTGTTTCATCTGGTATGAAAATAACTCAGCTTGAATGAATGTGTCTGTTGAGATGTTAATACAGAGCTTAAGAACAGGAAGATGAAATTTGTTGGCACATGAATTAATAGTTGGTGACCTTGTGTCACTATTTATTTTATGCCCTGATCAGAACAGCAACTAGATAACTGAAAGTTTTTCTAACATGCCTTAAAAATGTTATGGTTTGATCCAAAGACCCACTTTTTCTTTAGCTACTACGATAAGGTTTTTTTCCTTTTTTTTTCTCTTTGTTTCGTCTTGTTTTACTTTTATACAAAGGCAGCATTTTTGTTGTTGTTGTTGTTGTTCTATGTTGCAACTTTTTTTTTTTGGTTCTCTTAAGCTGTGATAGTGATGGTGACTGATGCCTTTCTTTTTGTTCAACTCATACAAAACAAGCCAGCATCTGATCAAAAGTATTACATAAAATCTTCCTTAAACTATTGAAAGGTGCTTTGATGATTTTTCTTCTTTGGTTTGTAGAATTAGGACTGAAATTTTTACTCTAATCGCTATAGTTGCCATCACTTTTCTGTGGTCAAACTACTGATATTTGCTTTTCTGTAAAAAGAAATGTTGCCTAAGGATGTCTACTGTTTGTTTTCAGGAGTTGTCCAGTGGGAATATTGCCTATATGTATGAATATGAAAGTGCTTATTTCGCTTGTTGCCATTGGGATTCTGTTTGTTTGTTTTGTAGTTTTTTGTTCTCAGCAGTCTTGTGTTAGCACTTGGGTAAGCTTTAATTGTCTCCTTAGCCAATCAAATGTTAAAGACTATGGGGGTCTTTTCTTTTTTTTTAATTAACGTGTCATTGTGCATCTCTTAAATCTTGATCAGGGTTTCAAGAATGACTGCAGTGGGTTTTGGAAACAGACTTATCCTTATTGATTTGGGGTTTCCCAGAGATAAATATAGTTCACAGTTAATTGTTGAGCTCTAATACAACTGACCATTTAAAATTGAACAACAGTTTATTGTTTTGTAACAATGTCAGTTGTTAAACCTTGACCTTTCAGTTAAAACATGAATTGTAGTTATAACTCAATGCAAATTCAACAGTTGTATTTGGAGTTAAATTATTTTAACAAATAAATTTATTTAATGAAATTGCCTCTGGATTTTTTGTTGTTGTTGCTTTGTACATATTCATGGGTGAAATGTATTTATTTAGAAATGAAAAAATTGCTGTAGAATTCTATTTACAGAAATGGTCAAGCTAATTGAGAATTCATCATATTAAAAAGGAAGGTTAGTAGATCATTTTCATAGCTTTTAAAAATTAAAACATGAGATTTTTAAATTAGTAATTTTAGATATAAATGGTATTTTATATTTTTGATGATAGCTGGCTAATTTGAAATCTCAACGGTATTCATGTTCACAGAATTGTTCTAGATAATTAACATTAATTAGCAGTTGCTTTGTGGCCCTGCTGGTATCACAAAAACGTATCAGTGTCCTTCCAGTGATGGCTTGGGGGGGTGTCTCTTTGTTTAGGTCTTGTGGATTTTTAAGGTATCAGAGGCTGGAGGTTGCTCTTTAGTAGGGCTATAGGGCCTGCTTGTTCTATATAGGGCCCTGTGAATGTTGACAGATGCTGTTAATTATATACAGCCTTCAGCTGCTCCGATAAGGAGCCCATTCATTCCCTAAGCCAATTTAAACTGTGCCTTTTGGTCATGTTGCCTTCAAACTGTGTTGAAATTTCCTGGCAACATTCCACCAGTTTAGAAGCCTCATTGTTTTGGAATAGAAGAATAATTTGAATGAATATAACAGAGGCACTGTAGGCAGAATCTCAAATATTTAAAGGAAAATGTGTCTATATTTTAGTATAATAAACAAATACCTACTGGTTGGCTTCATAATCTCATTTGAAGCATTTGTAAAGTATTCAAGCCTATCACATTCTGCTTTCAATTGGGAGAATTTCTTTGTGACTGTGAAATAAAATTTTGAAATTCTTACACACTGTACTGTTTATTGATTATTAGAGGTCCATGAATAAAAATATAAAAAGCTGAAGAGAAAAGTGCTACCGATTGGTCTGACCTCTTGAGACATGTAAAGTGGAGAAAATTGTCACAAACTCCCTTTAAAAAGCTGCTAACCTCTTAATTTGTTTCTCTACAAATAAACTTTATTATGTTATTACGTGAAAAATATATTACATTAAAGGGTGAAAATGTAATCCCTGAAGAAAAAACCAAATGTCCTCTTTCATGAGCAATACCCAATACCCATTTGTTCTAGTGTAGCACACTTTTTTTATGTTCTTTATTTTCTTTTTTAAAATTTATTTATTTTTTAATTGAAGGATAATTGCTTTACAGAATTTTGTTTTCTGTCAAGTCTCAACATGAATATCTATGTTTCCAAGTAACTAGAGGAATAAAACATAGTGACACTTCATTTGTTAAATGGAAAATTTTAACTGGTTTTACATTTTCAATATTAACTTTTTTCCCCTGCTTTTTGCTTTTTTTTCCTTTGAAGTTGTTGTTCAGTCACTAAGTCCC